GTTGAAATCACCCAAGACCAAAAGCCTTGGGTGCTCCAACGCCCAGCCGGACACGGCCTCGAGCAGGGACGGGAGGCCACTGGTCGGTGCGTTAGGCGGTCGGTACACCAGCCAGATGGCCAAGTTCTCCTCAGTCTCCAGCACCAGGCCGACACACTCTATGCCCACGATCTCCGCCGGGGGGAGGGCCCTGAAGGAGTAAGCCTCCCGAACGAACAATGCCACTCCTCCCCCCCGCCCCTTAGTCCGTGATTGGTGTACGACCGAGAACCCGGGCGGGGCAAGTTGGGAGAGAGCAACAGTCTCCCCGTCCCGCACCCAGGTCTCCGTCATGCACGCCAGGTCTGCTTGCTGTTCCATGACGAAGTCCCGAAGGACCATCGTCTTGTTGTTAATAGACCTGGCGTTGCAGTACACCAATGACGGAGAGGGGTTCATCATCCGAGCCCCACTGCTGACCTCCCTTGGGATGGGTCGTAGGCTGGAAGGGCACCGAGCTTTTCTGTTTCTCAGGGCCCTTCCCTTGATGTTCTGCCTAGACCCACCGCTATACTTTCCCCTCCCCAAGAGCACCGGGATCTGCTGCGCCGGCATGGCTGTATCCGCCGGTCAATTCCGTAGTCACTACTGCTGGTTTTGGCTACAATCACCAACAGACGGCTTCCAACAGCGTTAGGTCTAATTGCGTTTAGTCAAGTCAAGGTTTTGGTGATATTACAACAGTTTCCGCTCATGCTTGCAAGAAAAGCAGGGGAGAGCTCCACAGTTCATTGGAAGTAATGGCTGCTTCACGGCCAAGAGGGGGGTGAAGACCCAGTACGGATTCCTTTCTGCGCCCCACGCAAGCCCACCCCTGCTTGTTTCATTACATGGGAGAGGGGGGCCATGGCTCAGTGGTACAGCATCTGCTTGGCATGCAGAAGGTCCCCAGTTCAACCCTTGGCAGCTCCACTTAAAAGGACCAGGCAGTAGGCGATGGGAAAGACCTCTGCCTGCGACCAAGGCTCCCTCTGAGCTGTGGAGTCTTGAGAGCAAGAATTCTACTTTGTGAGCTACCAGCATTAAAGCTGTGAGCGAGTGATTTGGCATAAATTAGTTTGTTCTGGAGCCCTCCCTCCTGAGCTAAGACAAAAATGTGTGAGCTGAAGACTAAAAAACTGAGCTAGCTCACATTAACCCAGCCTAGAGGGAACACTGCCTGAAGCCCCAGAGAGCTGCTGCCTGTCTGAGTAGACAATACTGACCCTGATGGACTGAGGCTCTGATTCAGTGTAAGGCGGCTTCATGTGTTCGTTGGTTTTGTCACCCCAAGTGAGTTGGGGGAGAGGCCATGGCTCATTGGAGGATTCTCTGCTTTACATGCGGAAGATCCTCCGGTTCAATCCCCAGCAACTCCTGTTAAAAAGGACCAGGCAGTGGGTGATGTTTGGGGTTTTTTTTAAATGATTTTTAAAAAATGTTTTAAGTGATCTGAAAAGACCTCTGTGCCTGAGACCCCAGAGAGCGGCTGCCAGCCTGAGTAGGCGATACTGACCTTGATGGACCAACAAGGATCTGATTCAGTACTAGGCAGCTTTGTGTGTCCGTGTGTATTCCTCCCTCTCCCAGCTTTTCATTAATATGCTTCAGGCAGCAGCCAAACAAAGTCAAAGATTTATAACTGCACGGCATGTTTCAGGGTGTGTCGATGGTTTCCATTCCTCCTCCTCTAGGTTCCACTTTTCCATGGAGGTCCGGCTGAACTCCTCCAACGGCTTGCTCTTCTACGTGGCCGGCGAGTCCCAAGACTCTTTCTTCTCCCTTTTCGTCTCCGGTGGCCGCCTGGTGCTCTTGGCCGACATCGGCGGGAATAAAGTCAGGCTCCGGAGCAAGGACAAGTTCCGTGACGGAAGGTGGCACACGGTAAGGGGGGGGGAGAGGAGCCCTGGGTCCAGGCTGGAGCCGCATGTTCGCATTCCGTGTGCAAGGAGGAGATATCAGGGCAAATGCTCCTTGAACGAAAACCACATCATACCTTTTATTATCACCAACCCAAAGCCATGACCAAACTTTAAAGTTCTCCGGAACTCTTCATCGGGCTGGGTGCGGAAATCAGCAGGTTTGAGATGTTTCTCTGGCTGAGCCTTGGCATCATCAGGGACAGACGGCCCAGGCCGTGATATCAACCCCTTTTCCCTAAGAATTCAGAGTGAGTTATCCAGATTTCAAATGGTGCTGGCATCAGTTTGCACCCTTGGCCTTCTGGGAAGAGGAAGCTAAAAGTGGAAGCACCCCACTGAAACCACAAAAGCAAACAAAAGGAAGGTGATCAAATGTCTTCCCAGCACCAGACAGAACACACAGGTCCCACAGAAGGGTGAGAGATAAGGAAAAACATAGTAGTCATTGGCTGGGATCCCCCACAGAAGATTGATTGGTTGATCTGTTTGTTATTTATAGTCCGTATTTCTCACTGAGACTCGGGGCGGATTACACAGTGTTAAATCTATGCAATCAGTAGGATGAGACATCTAATAAGCAATGCAATAGGACTAGGATTACAGAAATCTGAAGACAGAGCAGATGTAAAGAGAATTTAAGGAGTCTTCCCTTTTGAAACTTTTTTTACAGAGGAGGACTAGTATATATTATAAGGTTGTACAATATCTTTTGAGATTCTATGGAGATGATATTTGACATTTTGATCTCTTATATTATGAATTGTGACTAAGATGATTAATATGTATGAAGAAATTATTGTAATAATATTTTTCAATATATATAAAATTATTTATGATAGGTTATAATCCATCTGTGCACGGTATCTGTTGTATGTTGGTTTTCCTACTTACCGTGGGTCCTTGTTTGGTTTTGTGAATTGTGATTATAAACCAGACTTAGATTATCTAGATTCTTATCTCTGCTGGATTTCAATTTATGGATTGAGACTGGCCTCAACTTCCCTATCTGTAAAATGGGAATGGATGAGAACTGTCTCTAGAGGGCGATTCTGGGGGTGACTGTGCCAAATAAGAACTGAACCTCAGTAGCTCTACCAGTATTGTACAGTACAGTAATCAGGAGCATAACAGGCAGATTGGGTTGCCCGGGGCCAGTAATCACCATGCTTATTCTGTCATTCGGTTCTTGCAATTGGCAGGTCTTCTTCAGCAGAGACAGACGCAAAGTTCAGCTCACCGTTGATGGGCTGAGAGCCCACGGGAAGTCGCTGCCCACTGCTGGAGACTTCTGGATCTCTGGCCCTTTTTACATAGGTGGGGCACCTGTGGAGAAAGCCAAAGCTCATATACCGGTAAGGGGTCCTAATCCATAGCAGCATCTGGCATAGCGTGGAGAGATCTTTTTGCCTGGTGCTTTTCCTCCGTATCGGACAGGTGCTTAGCAAAGCACAGGAGGAGGTTGAGGAACCTGGAGAATGTGTTGCTAGGCCAGCCACCTGGCTGCAATACAAGGGGAAACGCTGCTTTGAAAGCTTGTTTTTGGAGGCTGGGCGCTGTGGATCAAGAGGGCTGCTTTGCTACGCTCACCTTCCCAGGTAAATCAGAAGGTTGAGGAAACAAAAGGAAGTGGACTCAAAAATACAAACGAACCTTTAAAAAATGCAATTTTTGTCAGTCTCACTGAAAATCACTTATAAAACAATGTCGTTTTGAAAACAATCTCTAAATCCGGGGAGATGCCTGATGTCCGCCAAGTGTTTATAGAAAGTGGGCAGGGTCATGTGGGGCTTTTGCCCAGCAAGGCTTCTGATTGGCCACTGGAGATGTGATTGGCTGTGCAGATTTTTAAAAAAATGTTGCTTTGGCAACAGCTGCCACCACAGAACAAGGATCTTCACTGTGTAATTGAAGGTAGGCTGAGGCAACTATATTGCGGCTGGGCCCACCCTGCTGTGTCAGAATTCCCAAGGTACCTGTAGACCCAAAAAGGTTGGGGACCCCTGCTCTAGGTAAATATACCATACAGCAATACAAATATCAGCTCGCCACAAACGTGCAGAGGGGCACATTGCACAGTAATGTAAATGAAAGACCAAATGCATTTTGGCAAAATCGCCAACCATCAGTTATGCAGTACACAGAAAATACACATGTGAGCTGCCTTTGCTTAAGAATGCTACTGATCAGGCAAAACAATTAAAATCTGCAGCTGTGTGTTTAATAGTTTCTATTGGATGACCCCCAAGTTCACCATGGGCTTTTCTGCTTTCTCAGTTTCCTCGCTTGTAAGTTCCTGATTCTTTTGGTTCCCCCCCCCCCACGTTCTGCATATGCTTTGCTTCCTCTAGTGGTTGATTCAATATTACCGTGGTGTATGTCTACCATATCTCTCTGAAGATTTAAACTGCATGTTTTCATGGCAGACGTACACCAGTGTAGTATCAAGCTGACCACCAGAGGGGGACAAAAAGTGTGCGGAGCAGAAAACAAAGAAAGAAACAGGAAGCAATGCTCCGCTAAGCTGTGGAGTCTCGTGAGCAAAAAATTCTACTTTGTGAGCGACTGGCATTAAAGTTGTGAGCGAGTGATTTGGCTACTGCATAAATTAGTTTGCTCTGGAGCCCTCCTTCCTGAGCTAAGACAAAAATGTGTGAGCTGGAGGTTAAAAAACTGTGAGCTAACTCACACTGACTCAGTTTAGAGGGAACACTGCTTACAAGCGAGGAGAATATGAATGTGGGAAAGCTCCATATCTCCCGAAGTGGTCCGTCCTCAAAGTCTTCATAAATCTGATCAAAACGTTCCGCTCAGTTCGCGTGTGTGTAAATAGCCTCTAGCATATCAAATAAATCCTTCCCATTTCAGAGTTGATAAATAGCCAGAAAGGGAACGCTTGTGGGAATCTACAGATCCATGAGGGCTGACTGAGGCAATTGGCAGACGGGTGCAAGAGGCGCTTGGGGGCATCACGATGCCCAGCAAGGCGGTTCCAGAGCCCAAGCTGGCATCCTGAGCAGCTAGGCTGCTAAGAGCGTTCGGATGCCAAGAATCTGCTTCTTCTTCCTCCTGCAGGACGCTTCTGCCACCAGCTTTAACGGCTGCCTCAGGCACTTGAAGCTGGACAGGAAACCCCTGGATTCCCCATCCCGTGTGTTTGGTGTGACCCCCTGCTACGTGGGGACTTTGGAAAGCGGCATCTTTTTCTCCGTGGAGGGAGGATACATCACCCTAGGTACAGTTCAGACTGTCTTCCCCGAGGCTTCTATTCCCCCCACCCCCTTTCCCCCCAGCCCTCTTAGCATCTCCCCGTTTTCCTCGCAATCCCATTCTCGTTTCCAAGGCACGGACCACCACAGGGCCTCCTGATCTTTTGACCGTCTTGCCTTTTCTCTCCCAGATGGGTATGTGGCCATCGGGCAGGACTTTGAGTTGATGCTGGAAATCCGCCCACGAAGCATGTCGGGTCTGATATTTCACATTGGCACAAGACCAACAAACTACCTCAGGCTGTACACAGACAGTGAACAGGTAATCTGGCATGGGGAGAGACACAGCTGGGAGCAATTCTTATACACTGAAAACAAGCCGTGAGACTACTCTGTGTCACATCTAGATGTTCAGCGTCCGCTTCTGCTTGCTGCCTTGTCTGATTCCACTGTAATAAGCCCCGCCATGTAGATTCTACACAGTAGGTGCAGTTTAATTTGAATTGGTTTGTTCCGCAGGGCAGAGGGGTGATTTTTCAGCTATTCACCCTTTCTGCTGCAGATTCCTCATTCTCCCATCCACCAGGAGCAGCATTTTGGGGAAATCATTTGGCCGCAGTGCTGCTGCTTCTCGAATAGTGGGATTCACTGCCAGTGGACATATTGTATTGACAGCCACAGTCATGGTGGGCTTTAGCAGGGGTTTAAACAATGGGGGACAGGGCACTAAGGGACAGCTAACTGTGGTGACTAAAAGGAACCACCACGTTCAGAGGCAGTAACCTCTGAATCCCAGAGCCAGGAGGCAACACCAGGGGAAGGCCTTGGCCTCTGTGCCTTGTTGTTGGCCCTCCAGAGGAACTGGGTGGCCACTGTGTGAGACAGGGTGCTGGACTAGATGGACCACTGGTCTGATCCCAGCAGGGCTCTTCTGATGTTCTTATGAAGGCCTCGGCCTCTCTGCCCTGTTGTTGGCCCTCCAGGGGTACTGGCTGGCCACCGTGTGAGACAAGATGCTGGACTAGATGGACCCCTGGTCTGATCCCAGCAGGGCTCTTCATGTTCTCTTCCTTGTGATGTGGGGGAAGCAGGGAAGTTCCATTCTGCTAACAGAAGTCCCATCCGTTACTGGATGTGATCAGCAGGATTCAGAGTATCAAGTAAACATCAGGGTAAATGGCAAAACTTGCATGGGCCAGGAATTTGGGTGGGGGAACGCAGGCTTTGGAGTTTGCTTTCTTTTTTTGCTTGTAATATTTCTGTCCAACCTTTCTGCTGGATCCAAAGGCATCTAACACAATATGACGGGGGGTAAAGATACCATCATATTAACGTGCTAGAATCAAACAGATCTAAAAACTGACACTATAGATCTAAAAGCTGGCACTATCGAAAAACAGCAACCACAGAGAATAAAAAACCTTTACACATTACCCTCTCCCAAGTGCCTTGTCCTGCATCCCCTTTTCACCCCCAGGCACCTGGGAACAGAGAGCAGGTCTGGCGCTTGCTAGACGGATTAATGTGGAGCAAGAAAGGATGGGGTCTGAAAGATGCACGTTTGTGGGAGCTGCATGAAGTAGGAGCAGTGAGGAAAGGTTGAAGAGGCCATGCTTTCCCCCCATCCCTTTAGCAAAAGGACCCTTTCCGGTGCATCGCACAGGAAGTTACGAAAAGTGAAAATTTTCAGGAATCCAAAAAACCTCATGAAATCAGAATGATGTGCACACACATGCCCATTTTGCAGAACTGGGTTTCAAGGTAGCAGTTTGGGGTCCGGATAGAGTTATATTTTGCCACATTCACGGGCTGGGAGGTTGCTGCACAGAAGACAGATGAGTGGGGGGACCCCCCCCCCCCGCAGCCGTGGATTTCTTGCAAACTCAGATTCTTGATTCAGTCCCATCCCACTGTGCAGATGTGTTGCCAGCAAGAACCAGCAATCTCAGCTCGATGCCCACAACATTCTGCGATAAAAAGGAGATAAGATCTACGTCGTTTAATGACTGGGTTAACTGTATCACTGCTCAGGCTTCAGGCCCTCATGACTGTTAAGTGCTGCCAAGTCACTTGTGACTCAGTGGCAACCTGATGATTAATGACCTTCAGAATGTCCCGCTGTTAACAGCCTTGTTCAGGTCTTGCAGACCGAGGGCCGTGGCACCCTTGATTGATAACCGTATGATGACATGATCGGACAATTAGGGAGCTGAAACCAGTAACCTTTGCAGTTTCTGCCCCAGCAGGGGATGGGGGGCTGTGCTGGCCAATGTTGGTTTGCTATTACTGATCTTCTCATTGAAGATTGCTCAATGAACTTCATAGCAACAGGTTGGATCTTGGGCCTCCGTTCCAGCAGCAGAGGCGCTTTCCTCCAGCAGAAGCAGCCTTCAGGACAGCATCGTGTGCCTGGGAGTGGCTCCTCCCGCCAGAGGAAAGCCCTGCCGCTGGTGGTACCTGGAGCGTGGAAGGCCACAAAACCGGCTGGCCTGCACTTCAAGGGTGTAGTGGTTTGGGGTAGTGGTTAAGTGTGCGGACTCTAATCTGGGAGAACTGGGTTTGATTCCCCACTCCTCCTCTTGCACCTGGTGATGTGACCTTGGGTCAGTCACAAGCTCTGGCACAGCTGTCCTTGGAAAAGAGCAGTTTGTGTCAGAGTTCTCTCAGCTCCACCCACCTCACGGGGTGTCTGTTGTGGGGAGGGGAAGGAGTTTGTAAGCCGCTCTGAGACTCCCAAGTGAAGGGCGGGGTATAAATCCAATCTCTTCTTCTTCTTCTCTGCTGTGCGATCCTGAAATAAACTCTCTGAACCTGTTTTGAACGCATTAGGTCACTGTGGTTGCAAACACTGGTGCTGGGGAATTCTCTGCCTCCGTGACCCGTCCTTCGCTCTGTGACGGCCAGTGGCACACAATTGCAGGTAGGGTCCTCGGAAGGAATTGGTTGCCATTACTTGGGGGGTGGGGGTGGAGGGAGAGGGAAAGGGTCATTTTGCACAGTATAACTTGGGCAGAGGGGGATTTTGAACCATTCGGCCCTTCTGGGGAGGGGAGAGGCTGCTAGTATTATACATGCCAGGTAAGCTCTCAGGTACTTGTCCCATAGTTGAGACCAGAATGGAGGAGAAAGTACTCTGCACCCTTGGAGAAAAGGCAGAAGAAAAACAAATGGGTACAAGTTGTGTTATGAACACCCAGGTACCCTGCCAGTAGATTGACCTGCACCCCTAGCCGAGCGAGCCTGTTGCAGGGGAGCAAGAACGGCTTCATGCATTGCACAGCTCCACCCCGTACAGCACCTCCTTAAGATCCCATTGTGTGCAAGGGTGCATTCAGCTACGGCACATTTTGTGGCTGGTTGTTTTTGCCCTGCGAAACAGCCCTCCAGTAAAGCTCTGTACGAATGAACCGCTGAGGATGTTTGTGGGTGGGGATGGGGGTGTGGGGGGGGTATGCCTTCAGTCAGTGGGGTTGTGTGATTTTTTTTGTTGCTGTCCCCCTTCCCCCCCGCCACCTTCTTGGGCCACGGGAAGAAGCCTCTTGACCTCTGAAGGGCAGAATCCTTAAAAGCACTACCGAAATTAAGTTCTGACATGTGAGAGGGATGCTGCTTCTTAGCGCACCTCTGCTTTCTCTCCCAAGTTATCAAGAGCAGCAACGTGATCCAGGTCGATGTGGACACAGAGGGAAATTACACAGTGGGCCCCAACCAGGTCCTCCCCACGACCGTCAAGGAGAATTTCTACCTCGGTGGAATGCCAGGTGAGCAGCTTGAGGTGCAGGAGCCGCTCCAGGAATTCCGACTGTAACCTCTTACAGCACATTCATGAAACAGCTGTCTTCCCTAGTAGCCAGCTTAGTGTAGTGGTTAAGTGCGCGGACTCTAATCTGGGAGAACCGGGTTTGATTCCCCACTCCTCCACTTGCACTTGGCTGGATGACCTTGGGCAAGCCGTAGTTCTGATAAGAGCTGCCCTTGAAAAAGAGCAGTTTCTGTCAAGAGCTCTCTCAGCCCCACGTACCTCACAGGCAGTGTTCCCTCTAAGCTGAGTTCTCACAGTCTAAGCTCACAGTTTTTATCCTCCAGCCCACACATTCTTGTCTGAGCTCAGGAAGGATGGCTCAAGAGAGCAAACTAATTAATGCAGGAGCCAAATGGCTCGCTCACCACTTTAATGCCAGTAGCTCACAAAGTAGAATTTTTGCTCACAAGACTCCACAGCTTAGAGGGAACATTGCTCACAGGGTGTCTGCTGTGGGGAGGGGAAGGGAAAGGAGTTTGTAAGCCGCTCTGAGACACCTGTGGGTAGTGAAGGGCGGGGCATAAATTCAATCTATTCTCTTCTTCTTCCTTGCAAGCGATGTTCACGGTGAAGGCAGGGGAGGAGGGAACTGGCTCTGCAGGGAAGCAGAAGGCACCTCCGTGTTCAGTCCTCCAGCCAAGTCACTGCATTTGAAAATAATCAGTTCTGCAGCAAAGTTAGTGGAGAGTTGCAAATAATATAGGCCTAAGTGAGGACAAAATGCTGGAATCCTCTCCATCCCAGTCTCCTTGCAGCTGAACTCACTTGGTGTTGAAGCAAATGAGGTGGAGTGCCCCAGGAGCAGTTGGCCCCAGCTTGCGACAAACGGTGGAATTTCGTGTGTGTCTGTGTGTGGGGGTGTGTGTCTTCCAGTAACAAACTGGGACAAGGCTTCTTTGTTAGCAGAACTTTTCTTTTTGGTTTTCAATCCAAAATTGGTCACACTTCACTGCTGCTAATATCAAGAGCTGTAGTCATTCCCTCCCCTCATTCAGCAGGGGACGTGATTGCAGTCTTCAAATATCTGAAGGGCTGTCATGCAGAAGATGGAGCAGATCTATTCTCTCTTGCTCCGGATTGCAAGACTAGGTCTAATGGGTGGAAATTATAAGGGAGTCGATACCGGCTAAATATCAGGAGAAACTTCCTAGCTGTAAGAGTGGTCGAGCAGTGGAACAGACTGCCTCGGGAGGTGGTGGATGCTCCTTCGCTGGACATTTTTAAGCGGAGGCTGGATGACCATCTTTTGGCTATGCTCCTGCAGAGTGCAGGGGGTTGGACTGGAGGACCTGCAAGGTCCCTTCCAACTCTTAACATTCTATGATTCCATGAGATCTGTTGCACTAACTTTATCCTTCCTTCTTTTCCCTTATGCAGAAGCAGCCACCCATAGTGGTCTCGCTTCACCTGCGCCTCCGGTCCCGCCTTACGTTGGCTGCATGAAGAACCTGGTGATGAACAGGAACCAAATCAACCTGCCGCAAGCTGGGACCACCAGGGGTTCAGTAGGGCTAAGAGGTTGCCCTGCGATGTAAAAAACAAAACAATTGCACACCAGCATTGGCAAAACGAAAAAAAATGCTGCACCTCTCCAGAAGGCCCCTGGATTTGCTTTGCCATCTGCACGTGCAGGTGGGCCCACAGCTGTCTAGCGGAGAGACTGAAGGTTTCCTGATTTTTGATTGGTTCCCTATATGTGTCAGCAGTGAGATATTCCGAGGAGCGCAGGGGCTCGGGTGTTGCTGAAACAAGAAGAGCTCAGCTGTGAAATGCTAAGTGGGCAGCCATCTTTGTGCCTCTTGGCAATTGCTTCTCCATACCCATCTCAAGTGCATTTTTGCTGGTAACAGTCACCAAAAGCCTAACAGGTGAAGGAGAATGAAACATGGGTAGTTCTGTGTACTGTAAGAGCAGCGCAATGGGTAGAAGTTGCATGGGGTGTCTGCCTTCACAGCTCGCTACCCATTATAAAACAAATCACACGCTTAGGGGGGAAGATGGCGAAGCAGACGAATATAAACACACACACACCCCTAAACTCATTGCGGTGAGATTGGAAAGCTTCATACATTCCTTAGTAAAACTCCCAGCCTGTCTGTTAGCTCTTCAAGGACAAAAATCGTAAAGGTATCTTCTCCAGGCAAGGAAGCAGGCTAACCGGCCTTGGCTGTTGTCCCATTAAATATCTGGCTCTGGCTTAACGTCCCCCAAATCCTCTCACAATCACTAATTTTCACAGCCCTTTCAACATATATGGTTCACTTGTGCACTTAGACATGTTCTTAAATATATTTGTGTGTGTATATATCTCCTCACATGGGACAAGATATTGGTTCTGAATTGAACTGTGTAACTTATCAATATACTGGTTTTTTTAAAAAAAAACACACAACAATTCTGGGGTAAATATTGTAAAATGGGTTTTTAACAAGTCTTGTTTTCTTTCAACCATGTAATTATTTTGTTTTCAAGCTGAATTAAGGGATGAATCTGTAAATCACTGGTACATACTTTTGATTCAAATAAAAATTTATGGTCTATACTTTGTACAAACTGGGGAAGTGTGTTTTTTGTGCAGTATACAGGAGGAACAGCATTAAAGTGAGTCAAGTGACCCTGAAGAACAGCTTCAAGTCTTGGGAGGTCTATAATTCTAATTAAGCTAGATGTAAGGGGGATGAAGCATTTCAGTTATTGAAAATCACTGACTTTAGAAAAACAGCCTAGAAGCTTCTTTTTAGGGCTAAAAATACCCATCCAGGGAGGGGGGGGGACAAAAAAAAGGAAAACAGACATTTGGCAGAGAGTTCCTTTACTAGTAGTTTCAATACGTCAGGTTAGCTACTGATCCTACTTAATGTACTTTTAAGTTACTATCTAGGAATACCCCTGAGACACAGACAGTAAGAAACCTAATCTAAACTCATGTCTTCCTCTTCATCCTTCTTGTCCTTTGATTCTCCTTCGGTTTGGTCAGACTTGACATTGTTCTGCATTGCTTTGGCAAAGGCCTCCACATCTAAAAACAGAACAAAAACAAAACCACTACATCAAAGCGGCAAGGTAAAGCCAGGACCAGATTTCTGTAAGTAAAACAGCCCAATCAAAAATGCAGGCGTTTAGTAACAAAAGAAGGTGGTGGTGGTGGTGGTGGTGGTGGTGGTAACAAGACCGGTGGTGGGCATTTGGAACTTGATCCACAGTGAAACTTAAGGTGAGATTGAAAGGCTAGCTAGGATTGCCTCGATGGTGTTAAAAATGGGCACTTCCGTTGCAGAAAGGGGCTTATTCCTATGTCACCTGCATAAACATGATCACTGGTACTGTTTCTTCCCCAGCAGCAAGCTACTTTACACTTTCAGTTTGCAAGATACTTTCCCACCCTGGAGCAGAAGACCTAGAGACAAATTCCTTCCCCTGCCCAGAATGACTAACATCCTCCCATTTTTGTACGGGAGTTCTTCACCATCTCGGGGGGTCCCGTCTGCAGTCTAATCATTGCCAAGCCCTGAACAACCGAGAGCCAGCAGGCGGTAGTGGCTCGAGTGTTAGACCAGAATCCTGGTCCAAGTCTCCACTCTGCGAGGAAGCCTGCTGGGAAACCTTGAGCTAATCCCCCCCCCCCAAGCCTCACACAGCTGTTGCTAGGATACGAAGGAGGGCAAGATAAAAAACGGTACTAGATAACAATAAAAGTGCTGGGGGGGGCAACAGTGGGAGGGCTCCTAGTGTCCTGGCCCTGCTGCTGGACCTCCTGAGGGCACCTGGTATTTTTGGCCCCTGTGTGACAAGAGTGTTGGACTGGATGGGCCTTTGGTCTGATCCAACATTGGCTTCTCTTATGTTCTAATTATTTTTAAAGCCACATCCCTTACCCTCGTTTCTTTAGAATGACTATTCAGTATTCTCAGACTCCCAAGACTTCTGATTCTCTCCCCCCCCCCTTTGGTGGAATGAGGCACCTGGCTTTTAATTCTATTTCCCCAATTTCCGGGCCCCTTCAGATCAAGCAAACATACCGGCAGCACGCCGCACTGCTTTCCAAGAGGAGTCCCAGCTCCAGTGCCAAAAACTTACCGCCTTTGTTTGCGGCATCGACGGCCTCGGCTGGCAAGCCAAACTGACTCATGAGGGGTCCCAGCTGCCCGGAAGCCAAGGCAGCGCTGAACATGCTCAGCGCCTGCGGAGAGACAAGGTGGGTCAGGCTCCAGTCCTCCCAGTGAGGGAGACGCCACGTGCCAGAAGATCAAGACCCTGCTCCCCCCCCCCCAAACACTAGTCCGGACAGGCTGTTTGAAGAGCCGGAACTTGTGGCAACATCTCAGCTGCTGCAAGCAAACAAGCAGCGCTTTGACAGGACCCCTCCCCCTCCTCTGTGTTCCAGATTCCAAACACAGCCTGCGACACTCATTGCCAACTGGATCCACATAACTGCTCTCAAGGAGCACACTCACTGCTACCAGTGGGTTGTTTAAAAAAATAATAATTCTGAAACAACTTAGTGGGTCGTAGACTCAGCTGTGCATGGCCGGACCTATCCCAGAAAGGCTGGGTGGTAAATAACCACTCAACACCTTACAGCAGGGAGTGCCCCACCCACCGACCCCTTTCCTGGTGCCCGAGTGTTTTTAGAAAGTGGGCGGGACCAGGTAGGGATTTCATCCAGCAAGTCTTCTGATGGGCTCTGCAGGTGTTTAAATAGGTTGCTTTACTAGCAGCGGCCACCACAGCACAAGGATCTTCACTGTGTGACTGAAGGGAAGCCGGGACAGCCGTTTTGTGGCTGGCTCCGCCTCCTGGAGCAGCCATTTTGTGGCAGCCATTTTGTTGCTGCGCCCACCTTACTGTATCAGAATTCCAAAGGTGCCCACAGGTTGGGAAAAGGCTGGGGATTGCCTGGCTTATGGCTATAATTGCATCTGGGTAACACACCTCTCTAAGCTAGGCTGGTTCACAGAACACTGGCAGCCTGAAAAGAGACCAGGAAACCCACGGGATTGATGTGGCGGGGTGGTGGAGGTGGTGGTCAAGCTAGTTAGCTATGAGAATGCAAAAATTTGGGGCACGTCTGGGCTAACTACAGAAATGAGTCTTTAAAGAGCTACTGGACTCTTACTCTTTCCTACTGCTATAGACAAACTTAACATGGCTATATCTTCGCCGTCTCATTCACTTGCTTTCAGACATTTTGGCAGAGCACATGGGAAGGAGGCTCCGGGGGGAGAGCCACTGCCATAAATTAAGAGGCCCCCCGGAACACATCTGGAGATTTCCTCCTCTCCGCATCTGAGCCCATACCATTCGGATGCAGGCAGATGGCTGCTGCCCCGTTCCATTTCCACTGTAGCGGCATCAGAAACTTTACCTTCACCGATAGTGAACTATATGACGAAACACGAGATACTGCCCACAAACCAAAATTATCATAGATGGTTGTTCCTATGACGCGCTAGGTACTTTCATTAGCTGTATAGAGGAATAGGTCCTCATCCACTGTACGGTCCACAGCATTAAATATAGGTGCTAAAGTTCCGAGTAACCATAAGATGAAATTGGTGAAATAAAACTAATAAGCCCACCAAGAATATGATTATGGATTCCTCTGGTTAACAATGCTGATAACGCATACATCTTTGTAAGATGTATTGTACTGTGTTCGAGTTTATTCCTTCTTCTGTATTTAACTGTACTGTCAAGTAAAAGAATAAAAAAAGAAAAGAAAGAAAGAAAGAAACTTTACCTGCTGAAACTGCGGAGAGGTCAGCGTGTTCTGGATCTCCTCTGCTGTCTGTGGCAGAGATTCTCCCGACGGAAGGTAAGGCAGCAGTCGTTCTTGAACTTCGGTGTTTGCCAGAATCGGCGCCATTATCTCAGGGGTCAGCACACTCGACAGGTCCACTGGAGGAGGAGGCAACAAGGATGCTCTTTTCAGGTAAGGGCGCCAAGGACTGGGCAATGATGCCACAGGCAGAACTCCACCAGTTCTCGGTGCAATTCCGGAAAGTGTCAAGATGTCTCAGATAACCACAATTCTAATTGTTCAGTCCGAAGGAGACATACTGGCTAGTAAATACTCAAGTTTTGAAGCTAGAATATTTCAGACACAGGACAAAGATTTCAGATTCTGTTATGCACAAGCTGCAAATAAAACTCTGCTTCAGAAACAGCTTCACTCACAGACGCAAAGGAAAGAACATTCTCCCCCCAGTGCAGAGAGCACGTGGTTAGTGCTGCTCCAATAAGAGAGAAGCTGGAGTGTGAGGGGCCCTGGAAATTTAATCGCAGCACCCAAATAAGAGCACAAAGCCCTGATCGCTCCAGGCAGGACTCCTCTTTCCAGAGTCTTACACCCCATCCAACCAGACCCCCCCACCCTCCCTCCTGTCATCCTGCTGACCTCCTGCTCCAGCCGGTACGTTCATAGTTGCTAAGATGTTCTGGAGGTCACTCAGTTGAATGGGCTGGGTTGGGCTGGTCGCTGTGCTGGTTCCATTCCCTGAGCTTGGGGCAGGACTGGGACTGGTGGCAGCGGCAGCGGCGGGAGCAGCGGGAGCCGGCGTTACCCGTGTGGACGAAGTACTGGAAGATGGCGTCACAGCAGCTGATTGGCTGCGGGAGCTGGAAGGTAATGGATGTCATCAGCCGCCAGGCAACGCACTTCCCTCCCCTTCCTTCCACGAATCTGGCACACTCAGGTGGAAATACCTGCCCGAGCGGCAACAGCTGGCCAGCAATAGGCCTGCCTCCGAAGCCCTGCACCCAAGAGATGTGCACTTATGCAAAGGGGGAAGCTGCCCCCTTCCTCCTCGGCTTGAAACCACAATTTTAAAAAAATGAAATTTAAAAGGAGGCGGTAGTTTTCCTGGAGAAATAAATGAGCCAAAACGTGTTCATCACCGAGTGTGGAAGGTCCCACTCAAAAAACACCAAGTGGGGATTTGATGGCTTTATACCCGAGAGAAGCAGCTGGCAACTAGCAGGACAGGGGACTCCCTTTAAATGAGAGAAGCCCCCCACGAGTATTGCTAAGGCAAGAGAGGGGAAATACGAAATGCGTATGGAGAACCACACTGCAGCCAAATTCTGCCTCGTATTGAACCCGGATGGGCCACATCTCTAACAGTGGTACAAAATTGGGTCCACCTTAGTTCTAAGTCTCAGAATAAAAGGCACTGGACTTTTCAGTCTCAGCCCCCACCCCACACTCTCCCAAGACAGAATGAAACGTGCACCAACTGGATTGTGCTGTTGTAAAATTACTGAAATGCTCTGAACACACAGAAGTGGTGTCTAGGCATTCTTTCAGGCATCTCAGGTTCAGCTGCATGGGGAAGCCAGCATCAGCACCTGCCCTAAGCAGAGGGGCCGTGACTCAGTGGTAGAGCATCTGCTTGGCATGCAGAAGGTCCCAGGTTCAATCCCCAGCATCTTAGGGCTGCCAAACCGCAGCGGGGGATCTGTGCGTCGTCGCAGGATTGCTGCCGCGGGGGGACAGTGATCCGCGTTGCACCGGCATCGCCAGGATGTGACGCTACGCGTCGCTCTGGCAACGGGGCTGTTTGGAGTCCCGTTGCCAGGGCAACGCGTAGCGTCACATCCTGGCGACACTGGTGCAACATGGATTGCTGTCCCCCCGCGGCAGCGATCCTGCGACGACGCACGGATCCCCCGCCGCGGTTTGGCAGCCCTACAGCATCTCCAGCTGGAAGGATCAGGTAGCAGGTGACACGACAGACCTCTCTGCCTGAGACCCTGGAAAGCTGCTGC